CCACGTCCGGTTCCTTCGACAAAAGGCAATGCAATTTCTCCATAGGATTTTGGAAAATAGCTCCAAATAAGGTCTGTGGTTGACACAAATTGAAGAGACAGATCACGTTTTGTTCTATGACATTAAATACATCAGCAGTGACCCCACTGTTGATTTTTGAAGAGTTTACGTGTCTGAAAAACGATGGTTGTTAACAAGTGGCTGAATAGGACTACAGAAGTTGTCCAGGCCGTTTTACGTCATTACACCGAACACGTAAACACTCAATCAAACGCTTCAACTTGTACCATTTAGAATCTGTATGTTTGAATATGGATCTTAAGTTGGCGTGACGTTGAAGCGACCCTGCTGTAGTTCGTTTATAGCATAACGTTAGCATTTTGCTTCTGGCGACTAGATTTATGATTCAAAAATTATAAAAGTAGGGGAGAAATTATCCGACTGAACAAAACGTGATCCGTCTCTTAAATGTGTGTCAACCACAGACCTTATTTTGAGCTATTTTCCAAAATCCTATGGAGAAATTGCATTGCAATTTTGACGAACGAACCGGAAGGAGTTTACTTCTGGGTTTTAGGATGCGTCACTGCGGTTCTCTATAGCGGGTATCAGATCGCTGGATCGCTAGAAACACCTGTCATCAGACTGGTAAGGGCTGTTCCATGCTCTGCTCAACCGCCCGCAGTCCAAATGGACTCAGTAGCGCCCCTTGCTGCCTGGAGCATGTGTGAGTGAGCATGTGTGAGTGTGTATGAGCACAATCACGGCGGAATATTACTGCCAAAAGTCACGTGAGTGAGTCACGTGACTTTTAGCAGTAATATTCCGCTGTGAGAAGAAAAGGTTTTGTAGTTGTAAAAAAAAGTGTTGTACTTGTAAAAAAAAGTTTTGTACTCGTAAAAAAAAGTTTTGTCGTTGTAAAACATAGTTTTGTACTTGTAAAAAAAAGTGTTGTACTTGTAGAAAAAAATGGTGTGTGTGTGTGTATATATAGCCCTTCTCTCCTTTTGTCAGTTTGTCTTGTCTCCACGTCGAGTACATGTCTGTAACATTAGTGATCTGTTGAGCAACCTAGTAGAACCTAGAGATATTGTGAGAATCCTAGTAGAACCTAGTGATCTTTTGTTTGTAGCTTTAAAAGTATTTTATAAATAAAATATATTTTGAAGTCAACTGAATCGTGCATCTGAGTTCCTGTGAGCCCTTCGTTTCAGAACAAACTGACCTAACAAGATGGACTCAGCCGATTCAACAGCGTTAAGGACGGCCTTGCAGACGCAGGGTACACTCCTTCACCAACATGAGGGACAGCTGTCAGCTATTAACCAAGGGGTCCAAGACTTAAATGCCCGTCAGCACAACTTCCAGTCTACAGTGTCAACAGAGATAAACCACCTGGCTGAGAAGATGCTAGACATACTCACACACCTCGTGGCTTACCCTGCTGTTCCTGCGGCAGAGTCTTCCGGTCTAGCGGAGGTCGGGTCTGCTGATATCCCCGTTCAAGTACCCATGCCATCGTCTAGGCTCCGCCTCACTTCGCCAGAGTAGTTCTCCGGAGATTCTGGAAACTGTCGTCCATTCCTGGTACAGTGCGTTCTCCATTTCAAACACCAGCCAGATCAAGCCAAGGTTGCTTTCATATTGTCTCACTTAACGGGCAGAGCGGGAGCCTGGGCAACAGCAGAATGGGCCCGAGACTCGCCTGTTTTCCAGTCTTTAAGGCTATTCATGGATACCATGAGCAAGATTTTTGACCAGACACCACCCGGGAGAGAGTCAGCGAGAGCCCTGGTGAACATCAAGCAGCGGCAGAGGAGAGTAGCAGATTACATTACATGTCACTTATTAGACGCTTTTATCCAAAGCGACTTACATACTCAATACTGTGGGCAATCCCCACAGGAGCAATTTGGGGTGAAGTGTCTTGCCCAGGGACACAACAATATGCTGACTGCAGTGGGATCCGAACACCAACGCTCAACCCACTGCACCACACGCCTCATTACGCTATCAAATTCCAGACCCTGGCAGCGGAGAGTGGCTGGAACTCTGCGGCTCTTTTTGACGCGTTCCTGTATGGATTAGCGGATCCCATAAAGGATAAGTTAGCTCTATTTGAGCTGCCTGAATAATTGGACTCGCTCATCGCCATGGCTATCTGGGTGGACCAACGTCTAGCTGAAAGACATCGGGAGAAAGGAGGGAATGCAGTATCCACTCCACTGTTCAGACGGGAGTTACCAAGGGAGCACTGCGCTTGGCGGAGGAGTTCCAAGACTTCCCAGAGTGACCAGCGCCCCCTATCACCGCAGAGGAACAGATGCAGCTCGGAAGAGCCAAACTCACCCCAGAGGAGCGACAGCACCGCCTACGGGAGCGGCTGTGCTTTTACTGCGGCCAGCAGGGTCATGTTCTGGCAGCCTGTTCGGCAAAAGATCAGGCTCATCAGCAGGAAGGAGGACGCTGGTGAGCCGAGTGACTTCCTTCGACCTTCCTTCTAGAAAATGTGTTCAGGTACAAATGAAACTTAATGATAAAACTGTGACTCAGGATGCATTAATCGATTCTGGGGCTAATGAGAGCTTGTTAGACTGGGAGCTGGCTAAAAGTTTGAACTTAAAACCTCTTAAATCCCACGGACCCGCCGAAGGGGCCGAAACCACAACATCTGCAAGCAAAAGTGTCTGAGGGCTTCTTAAGATTTAATAAACTATGAATGTTTTATATCCATGTAACGGGAAGAAACTCAGCTAACTGATCTTTTTTTCTTTTTTTTTTTAAACCTCAAAGCTAACGTTGAGCCTCTGAATTAGCCACGGGCAAAACAATATTAAGGCCGTTAGCACAGAACTCTAGCTATACCGATCGATATACTTATTGGATCCTCACAAACAAGCTTAGATAACATCCTGAGAGTCCACAGATTATAGAAATATAAGGATCATTACTGAGCGATCTGAACTTGTGACAGGGGAAGCAAATACAGACAACACACAAGTAGCTTTAGGGAGCAAAACACAGAGATATGCTCACCTTAGCTGTTATTCTGATCAAAAGTCGTGTTCAATGGCAATAAAACGAGAAAAAACGCGACTGAAGGTTAATCCATAGGTTATGTAGACAGTTCCTGGTCGACTGGGTAGGGTATGGACTAGAGGAGAGATGTTGGATCCCAGGCAGCTGTGGGTGTGGGAGAGAAACTCCCTTTGAAGGGAACACAGATATTTTAGCCTTTGCAGACCATTTGCATGTACAAAACCTATATAACACATTACAGGTTTACCTGCAGGTCTCTCTTGAAAAAGAGATTGTTGATCTCAATGGGATTTTCACCTGGTTAAACAACAAACACAGGAAATGGAAAACCCTGAAAAGCATAATATGGCCCTTTTAGAGATTACATAACTTATTTTATAATAAAAATGGAATATATAATAGAGATAATTTCTGATGTAGCAATGAAAAATTGTGAATTTTGAACATATTGCTTTTTATTGAGATTAAGTAAACGGTGGTTAAATAGATTAATAGTGATCTAAAAAAAAGATTGAGTGATTTATAAAAATAAATATAGATAAAATCAGAGAAATGGTAACAAATGGTACATCACACTATAAGATTTTACCCACGTAGATATGTGTTGTAGAAAATTGCAAGGTATAATACAGAAATGTAATTGCCTGAAGATAGTTTGCATATTGTAACTAGAGTGGGAGGTTGACAGAGACAACAGCAGTGTAGAGTTTATTATAGCTTTAATCTATTTAATTCCAATAATGATGTGGATATACCAGACCCTTGTAGATTGGGTGAATAACACAAATATTAACCAGCGTCTCAAAAGGATCTCAATACTACTTTCACCAAGTATACTTTTGTCCATTTCCAATAGTTCATATAGCTCAGGCTGCTCTTCCCTGCATGCTCTAAGAGCCTCTAGCTTCAGGCCACAGTCAACACTGTGGTGTCTGAGATTGAGGGCCGTGAGGTCACCATGGATACGTGATGACAGCTCAAGTCAGAGGCCTGACTCCTGAGGGGTCACCCAGTCTGTCTGCCAGGGGCCTGAGGCACATCAGGAAGTATGAGAGGTGAAAGAGTGAGTGCTGAGAGCAAAGAATGTGACCACTCGCTCTACGGTGCTTCTGGAGCCACGCTTAGCTTGTAGCTCCTTTATTTTTCCAAGTTTTGAAGAATCCTTCCTGTTTATTGTGCTCTATCTTACCTTTTTTTTGTCTTTTTCGTAAAATCGTTTTTTTTTTGGGGGGGGGGGGGGGGGAGGGAAATGTCGTGTTCTTGACTGCTAGGGTTTTATCCAAAAGACCACTCATTTTACTGAATATAGTCGGAATTGTCCCGTTTTGATTGCTGGCCATCACCATCAGTTTCAGAGTAATCCAGTTTAGACTCATTCAGTCAGTCTGCATTTTTAACTTGCGGAGGAACTTACTGCCTCCACAGTTTCATGTATTCATGTATTGCTTGTTATGACCTAAAAGGATTACATTTAATACATGCAGGTTACTCCGTAAGTAACGGAAAGTAATCAAGTTGCATTTATTTTATTATCAGATTCAGAATTAAATAAAAAAAACTATATAGCCTACAAATAATGTGTAAAACCAAAAAGTTAGAATGTGCAATGAAAGGACACAATTAAAGTAAATGAAAAAATATCTTATCATTATAAAAAATGTGAGTAAAGATTTCCCACAAAAAAAAAAAAAAATGTATATTACAAAAAATAGGTAAATGTAAGTAAGGTTAATAATTGCATTACATTAACTTACAAATATAAAATCAATTACATGACCCCTCCCAACCCTGAATTTAGTACATCTCTGCTGAAGAATAACATGTTCTCCCTGGTCACCCCCACACCTCCAGAAATAGCCCAGCAGTGGCAGCTCTGTGCGGCGGCAGTGACAGCGTTAAACGCGCTCCATCAGTCTCCACCTTTTATGTAAATGACAGTGTGAGTGAGTGGGACCCGAGACGGAGAAAGCGCTCAGTGAATGAGGGGGGGGGCGGGGGAGTTGCCTGCTGCCTGCTGCCTTCACGGATGTGGCCCTGCGCTCACAACAAGGAGGAGGTGCGGGTCTCTGTCTCCGGTGTTTGCATCTGTTCGGAGGACAGGAGCGCGAGGAGGCTGCTTTTGGACGCGAAAGTGCAATCATGTCACGAGCGCACAGAGAGCGTGCAACGGGAGCATCCGAATAATCCATACAGGCGATAAACCGACTCTACAGGAATAAAGCAATGGGTGGCCAGATAACGCGAAATGCCTTTTACGGTAAGAAATCCATATTTGTGGCTTTATATTTTGCGTCCGTATTATATTTGAACCTGTGTTGTTACATCCAGGTACGGTCGTTCGATTGTAAATTGTGTTTTATTCACGCTATCCTCACAGCACTGGCTGTTATCAGGTACCACAGAGCTGCTACAGCCTATTCTTCGCTCACAGTTACGTCACTCCGGTAGCCTAATTAGAATAAGGGGCTCCAGACGCGCAGCTTTAAACATCTACATACACACGGTTACAGTTCAATTTAAAAAAATGTTTTAAAGTAACAAAAGTTTGATCCCATTAGTCAGTATTCTGTTGAACGATATGCACTCTTTTCTGTATCATATTTGTTTTCACTTTAGGTAACAAAAATGTTCTTTCTGTTGCATATCAAGTTCTATAATTGGAAATGAGGGAAAACCCTTGCCCATAATATCTGGCTGTGTTCACTTTTGATTAATGTCACCACCTCCCAGGTCTTTTACAAGGACATGCTATGTATGTCCCATATTAAACTGTTGTAAACTGTTTACATTGTGTGGGCTGAAGTGAGTTTCAGTGAGGGATGGAAAGTGTTCAGGGTTTACCTCCTCTGTGTTGTGGATTCCCCTCATTAATAAAGAGACACAGCTGGGCTTTAGGAAATCAATGTACTGATTTTCTTCTGCATTATCCTCTACCGTGACATAAAGGTCGAGGCAGCGTGATGAATTGTAGCTATTGAAAACAATAGTATTTGATAGTTTGATTTAGTCTAGAAGTGGGATAGTGTTTGATTTGTTTGATAATGACAAATGGTCTTCAGGGTTTTTGTGGAATACATAACATTTCATTTAGCTGATGCTTTTAGCCAATGCGACTTACAGTCAGTGCAATAAATCATAAAGATTCAAAACAGCAAGAAACAGGCAGGTACACTGCTTCAAGCCATTTACATTAGCTTGAAATTGGCTTAACCTGTGATACATATTGTTATTATCTAGGCCAAGCAGGTGGGATGCAACATTCTCTAGAACTTCACATGTATTGGAGAGCTTCCAGGGACTTGGTGGCTATAGTAAATAAACTGTGTTAGTCAAAAGTAAAGCTTCTGTCGCGGTTCTTGGGCAAACTATAGACTAGCTTCAAACTTTGTGTGTCTTGTTCAAAAAACAATATCCATCATGATATTTTATACACTAAAAGCTGAGATGGAGGGTGAGGCCAACTATTATACTCGTTTTAAACACCACGCAAGAAGTTATTTGCAACACTAGTGAACAACAATAACGCATAGCACATGATCTTCAGGGGGCTGAATGTTGTGCTAATGCATTCTGATGCAACAAACAATACATTACAGAAAAAACGAGATTCAAATAGTCGGTCTAATATGCTAACGTTACATCCTTGCAACAAAGGTTACTTATCGTTTGTCATTATTCATCCACGCAAACAAAACCACTGAATTTGTGAATGTACACATGAAATGCAACGTTTAAAACAATCAAAAACCATGATCTAATTCATTATCACTACAGAAAGTATCTGTGGTTTTACTAAATACTGTTGTTGTGACCCTTAGGGATAGTCCACCAGCCATGGATAAAAGTAAAAGTCTGCCTATTATAAGAGTGTAATAGCAGTCCAGGAGATAAGCAATGATAATACTATACTTCTGAATTAATGGCTATTGTTATATAACATGTGATATGTATTTGTTGTCTCAATATAAATAAGTGAACCTATGGGAGTTACAGTAAGTCCCTGTTCCTACAGCCTGTTCCGGTGTTGACCACCTTATCGTTCTAATTAAAGCCCCAAGATTAATCCAATTAGCTAAAGAGGGTCAGACTAAGACAGCAGGAAGAGGAAGCTAGAGCCCCTTCTCCTTAGTAGGAAGGTGTAACACCTCATGGAAATTCAAACACAATATGCATTAATATGCAAATATTTATTTCCTGGATCTCTAAGAGCTAATATTGATTTCAGCATAATAGTGGTATGATTTGTTATGAAGTGTAAGGGTATTTAATAGTTTTTTTTGTTTTTGCATAACACCACTGAACTACAGTTTATATGCCATTTGGTAAATTTTCAGATACAAAATGATTCCTTAGAGATATCTGGTCCACCTATTTCTGAGACCGCAGTCTGAGCTAGTTCTGTACCAGTGTACATGCGGTAGGTAATCCACTTTTCCAGATCATAAACATTTAAAATGGTTACTCCCCTGCCTGTTTCAGTGTATAAATAAACTTAAACGTTGAGCTGTTTCCTTGCCGCCCAGTTCTGATGGAATGGGTTGTATCACAATCACCTTGTAAAACGAGAACGCCTCTACCATCACGTTTTACAGTTTGCCTTTGCAACTGATTGCCATTATCTACATTTGGCGATGTTGTTTATCTGTGGTTCCTCCCTTTTGTTTACGTGCCAGACATCCATGACAGAGCTGTTGCATACCAATTCCTTTTATGTCTCAATGGTCTGGTTAATTAACGTTTTGAATTAGACCTTCTTCTTGCCCTGCTATGGCAAACCAAAATGGCTGCTTTGAAAACAATCACTTTCTTGCCCTATTTTCAGTTTAGCCAGCACCTGTGTAGTGTATTCTTGTAAACATTTTCTGGACCATCTGTTGTCCCCGGTGTCGCATGATAATGATATTGCCCTGAACTTAATCTGTACCTCAATTTTCATTGATTATTTGGCTAGCAAGTGGTTATTATAAGTTATTATTGCAACATATTTTGAACCAAACATCTGTGCTTAGTCCCGATTATTACATCACTTATTGGGAAAGTTATTTGACGCAGTTTAGGGATTAGGAAATTGACCATTAACTTAAAGGAGTATGATATTAGAATAGATACTTATACTTACTGCATTCATAGTTAAATAAAATATAGCATGCCTGCTAAATCTTGACTGGAGCTTTTGTTCTTATGAAAACATAACAAAAGATATGTAGTTTCTTAGTGTTCTTAGTAATATACCGAGTGAAGTGATTATCAAACAGACAAATCTGACCTGATTTGTTCTTCCAGAGTGATATAACTGGGTATGAAGCATCCGTATCAACAGTCAGCCTTTCACATTCACAAATATGGCTAGTTATAAATAAACATAGCGCTGCTGCCCGCTTTAAACCACCAAATAGAATGATCTGTTCAAAAGCTGTTGGATAATCGCTGCTGATTCACATCCAGTTGTGAATGGAAAGAGTTTAAAAAATGGTGTTTAACTGAATTTGATATTTAAGTACAATCGGTAAGCCATTCACAGAAACCACTGAATTGTTCTGATTCTTCTTTCTGGAACAGAGAAGAAAGCTAATTTAAGAAACTCGTATTATATTTAAACCCCTCAACGGATACCTAAGCTACCTAAAGTGAAATCCATTTTCCAGAAAACTGTCCGTGCTGTTATTATGTACAGTATACAGTGTTTACATGTAGAAAAGTGTGACTTACTGAGGAACAGATATTGCTTCCTAAAGTCGCACCTACACAGGTTGTTTTGTTTAGGTGAAAAGCAGTAGAGCGCATCCGAAGACTGTTTTTTGAAATGGTTGCATAATAGAGTCTGCCGAGTATGTGGGAGCTCCACTTCTCTACTCCAGATTGACTGAATGTGGGCCAGTGTCTGAGCTGCACAGGCTGATTGGATGGAGCGTCTGGCTCGCTTGATGTGAATTGGATTCACTATTCAAATGCAAAGCTCGACTGAGCTGAAGAGATAACAAACATAACAAAGTATCATTTTCTAAATTCCTAGAATCAGACACAACTGCAGTCTAGTCATAGGATATGGCCTCAGGTTATTGAATGCTAACCAACATTGAAAATACTTTTTGAAATACATTTCTCAAATTATTTAAACTTTCACCTCAGTTCACACTGCTAGATTGGAGCAGGAATGAGTCCTAAAACCCATACATGACTTAAAGCATGAATAAAAGATTTTACCAAGCCAACATTTTGTTGATTGTGTTTGTTGTCAGAAGCCTGAAAATGGTCTGTGGTTAAAACAAGCCTGAGAGATTTTCATGTTTTTGTCCGAAGCTTCTATTATTCATATAAACTGCGGTTTCTAAGGGACTAAATAAATTACTAAATGTCATCACGCCGACACGAGTCCGCCTTTAGCTTAGCGGTGGTGATGAGATGCCTTGGGAATCATGTGAAAGCAGTTTATGAGTGCAAAATGCTGTGCTTCAAGTTCAAATTATTTAAGCTTTGACATTGATTGCCCCAACCAAATCAGATGATAGGTGTACAGTATGAGGCAAGCTAGCAGGGGAGGTAACCAGAGAACATTTCTAACTGTTTTCCCCGAAAGGCTCTGCGCCCAACCTCTATGTGAGCCAACCCTAACCCTATTGTTAAAGCAGCTTGTGAGTGCAAGAGCCAGGAAGATGGAGCTTTGATCAGGCCACAACAGTTGCTAGAAACAAATGTCTCAGGGTCTCATACATGCATCCCTAACCTTCCTTTGTCAAGCCAAGCGTGTGTGTGTGTGCGTGTGCGTGCGTGTGTGTGTGTGTGTGTGTGTGTGTGTGTTTGTGGTAACCAGCCCTTTCATCCTCATCCTCATGACAGGTCACCTTCAAGGCAGCGCCCCCATTATGACTTGCAGCCAGTACTGAATAGCATCCTGCCTGCTGTCAGTCAATACACCTTGCATATCATTACGTCTCTCCACCAGCCTGCTCTCTTTCACTGCCAAGGAAGCATCATTGGATTACATTTTGCTCCACTGTATGTCTGTTTTCTGTGAACTTATGGATCACGGTTGTGTAATCCTGCTCGTGAAGAGAACGCGCTAACAGCCGGGACACTAATGATCCGTAACGGGTGATGTCAGCCAGAATTCATCATCTGCGCTGTCTCACCTTACAATACCATAACAACACAGGATAAGAAACAAGAAACAGATGTGCATTTAAGGTAAAAAAGACTAGTTGGTTTTGACTGTTCATAACACTATATCAATCTAATGTAATGTAAGACATGGAAAAA